ACTTATTGTAACTTCTATGATTTTCATTATAGAGGTCTTTGATTTCCTTGGTTAAATTAATATCAAGGTATTTTATTATTCTTTACTATTGTGATTGGAGTTGTTTTTCTTATTTCTTCCTTACACTGTTATTTTTTGTTTTTGTTGGTTCTGGGGCTTGATTTCAAGGCCTGGGTGCTGACCTGGAGCTTCTTTTACTCAAGGCTAGCACTCTACCTAACACTTGAGCCACAGGGCCATTTCTGGCTTTTTCTGAGTAGTTTATTGGAGATGAGAATCTCACTTTCCTGCCCAGGCCCAAGCTGCCTTCGAACCACAGTCCTCAAATCTAGCCTCCTAAGAAGATAGGATTACAGGTGTGAACCATAGGCACCCAGCTTGTTAATGATAATAGAAAGCTACTGATTTTTTAGTGGATTTTATATGCTGCTAATCTTTCTGAAGGTATTTTTTAGATCTAGGGTTTTTTTGGTCAACCCCTTAGGATCATTTTATTTACAAATAAAGATAATAAGAATTTTTTCTATCCCTACTTGAATTCCTTTTCTTAGAACTGGCTTATTGTTCTGGCTGGGAATTCTTGTCACATATTGAATAAGAATGGAGTGAATGAACACCCTTGCCTTGTTCCTGATTTTGAGGAAAATGATTTCCATTTTTTTCTCCATTCAATATGATGTTGGCTATAGGTTTATCATGTATAGCCGCTGTTAAGTTTAAATATATACTTTTTTTTGTTTATTTTATACTCTTACTGGGGCTTGAACTCCAGGCCTTTTTACTCATAGCTTTTTCTCTCAAAGCTGATACTCTACTGTTGGAGCCACAACTCTACTTTCTGCTTTTTGCTGGTTAATTGGAGATAAAAGTCTTTTGGGTTTGTCTGCTAGCCTGGAGACAGATCTCAGCCTTCTGAGATCTACTAGGCTTGTAGTAGTGAGACTCCAGCACCAGGTTTAATTATTTTACTTACGTTCTTTGTTGTTTTTTTTTCCAGTGTTTATAAAAAGTTTTTAAGTTAAAGGCTTTTTCTGTGGCACTTGAAATAATCATGTGATTTGGTCTATGTCCTGTTTATGTCATAAATTTTATTTATTAATTTATGTATTTCAATCAATCTTGGATTTCTAGGAAGAATGAAGCCAACTTGGTTATGTTGCAGGATTAATTAATTTGCTTATTTTTCTTGTGACAGTTGTGGGGCTTGAACTCAGGGCATTGTCTGAGCCATAGCTCCACTTCTGTTGACTTTTGGTGATTGATTGGAGAGAAGAGTCTCACAAACTTTCTTGCCTAGATTGGCTTCAGACTGTGGTCTTCAGTCTCAATCTCCTAAGTAGCTAAGATTACAGTTGTTTGCCATTGGTGCCCAGCTGTGATCTTTATTACGTTTTGTTGAGTTTTGTCTGCAAGACATTTGTGGGGAATTTTTGCACGAATGTTCTTCAAAATATGGGTCTATCTAATTCTCCTTTGTTTGTTTTTAGTGCTAGGGATTGGACCCAGAGCCTTATGTAGACTAGGTGGGAACTCTGCCACTGGAGCTACTGTTCCATCCCCTACAAAACACTACCATATGTCATTGTCGTTCTTTTGCCTCCATTTCCTTGTTGCACTCTGATGATAAGGAAAATGGTTAAATAGTGTTTTTCTTTATTCTTTTGTCCTAGCTACAAATTCTAATGGGTTCCTCTACATACATACAGTCTTTTAGCCTTGAGTTCAGAAGCCTGTAGCACATTTATGAATGTATGCAAAGGTCATAATAAAGCCTTTTTTTTTAAGGTCTAGGGCTAAAGGTGTAGATCAAGTAGAACATGTGCCTGGCAAGCACAAAGCCCTAAGTCCAAACCTTACTACCACTGAAAAAAAGAAAAGTCTCAAACGGTCAGCCACTTCTGTTCTACCTTGCGTAGTGGGAGCTCATATTCAGAAATAAGTCAGTTTGGGCTGGGAAGGTGGCTCAGTGGTAGAGCACTTGCCTTGCATGCATGATGCCCTGGGGGTTCGATTCCTCCGCACCACATAAGCAAAAAGAAAAAAAAGCCGGTAGTGGCGCTGTGGCTCAAGTGGTAGAGCGCTAGCCTTGAGCTGAAGAGCTGAGGGACAGCGCCCATGCCCAGAGTTCAGGCCCCACGACTGGACCCCCCACCCCACCCCCCCAAAAAAAAAGGAAAAGAAAGAAAAGTCAGCTTGTTATTGTCCCTTTCTGCCTTCCTATCCATTTATCAATCTGGCCAGCAGCGGACTGTTTTTTAAGTCATCTTTAGGCAGGTTTACTTGCCATTGTTACTTAGCCTGGATTCTATTAACCTCTTGTTAGCTTCATTGACTTGTACATGTATTTATGCTTTTTGTTATTTCCTTTATTATACACAGGGGTCTGTTGTGATATTCATGTGTCTGTATGCTTTGATCATATATATTTATATTTACCCCATTACCTTTTCTTATCCTTAACTCATTTTACTTTTTATTTTTAGTGCCAATCCTAGGGGCTTGACTGGGTGCTGTCCCTGAGCCTTTTTTTTTTTTTTTTTTTTGTCGGTCGTGGGGCTTGAACTCTGGGCCTGGGAGCTGTCCCTCAGCTCTTCAGCTCAAGGCGAGCGCTCTACCACTTGAACTACAGCGCCACTTCCGGTTTTCTGGTGGTTTATTGGAGATAGGAGTCTCATGGTCTCTCATGCCCGGGCTGGCTTTGAACCGCGATCCTCAGATTTTAGCCTCCTAAGTAGCTAGGATTACAGGCGTGAGCCACCAGCGCCAGCACCTGGCCCCTGAGCCTTTTTTAAGGCTATCGCTCTACCACTTGAGCAACAGTTCCAGTTCTACTTCCAGCTTTTTGGTGGCTAATTGGAGATAAGAGTCTCACTGACTTTCTGAGCCCAGGCTGGCTTCCAACTGCCATCCTTAGATCTCACTCTCTGGAGTAGTTAGGATTATAGATGTGAGCCACCAGTATCTGGCTCTTCCTCTTTTAAAGACAGGTTTTCATGGATTTCCTTCTAAAAAATAGTTTTATTATTTATTGTTATTAAGATGTTGTGCAGAGGGACTACGATTATGAAATGGTAGTGTAATGGTAATGAGTACATTCTCTCTTTTTTTTTTGGACAGTGTTACTCCTTCCTTTATTTTTCCCCAGTTTTCCCCTTCATTCTGTTTTTATGCTTGATTATCTTTAAACTAGATTTAGTTTGTATATGGGTTTGGGGGAAGGAGATGAGAGCAGAGGTACAATTTGACTTACTATAGTGTGTGTGTGTGCGTGCGTGTGTGCGTGTGTTGGTCGTGGGGCCTGAACTCTGGGCCTGGGTTCTGTCCCTCAGTTCTTCAGCTCAAGGCTAGCATACTACCATCGGCTTTTTCTGCTTATGTGGTGCTCAGGAATTGAACCCAGGGCTTGCAAGGCAAGCACTCTATCACTGAGCAACCTTGCCAGCCCTGACTTAGTACATTCTTTTTTTGCGGGGGGG